GTTCCTTATGTTTTTATATAGTATCGTAGTCTGAAATTAGCATTACTGAAAAAAGTTCTTTAACACTCATCTTCCCATCTGGTCCTTCTTGAAATATTCATTCAACTATGAACTCATCAATTTCCATACAAACCCTATATGAATCCGCGCCTGTAAGTTGTTTATTCATTTGCTCCATGTTATTTGTTTTCCGACAGCAATGCAACAACGTTGTTACAACGTCACACTGATATTCAACTACAACACGATACCAGAGAATTCATTCCGTTCAACTGTCGTAGCGATAAATACAATTCGATCTAGTTCTTGTCACCGATGAATCGAATGTGATTTTAAGGGTTTCACAACGATGCAGTGAGTTCATGGAAAAAGGTTTTATAGAAACAATGGACGACGCAGAAGGCGACTTAGATATGCTGCCGAGTGCAATTACCTTTTTCGACAATCGGGTAAGTTTATTTAGTTATCAGCATGTTTACTTTGGAGCTATCAAATGTTATACATTCAGTCTGTCCAATAGATTGTACTTTTAATAATATGCAATGTTGCCGCTTCAATTCACAATTACTTGCTTACATGATTTTCATTTGAAGCACAAAAATTTTCAATTTGGCTCAATACATAATTATATACACCACATATACAATCTATAGCAGCATTGAGAAAATGAAATTTGTGAACCATTTAGATATCTTTTCAAAGCCATATTTTTAAAAAACAATAAGAATATATAAAAAATTGAAAGAACAATGAAAATGTTTCGAACCGAATGCCTCATCCAACAAAAAACCTAAAATTTGTGATGAAAAACTTTTCAAACAATTATGAAAACTTTTCGAAATTATTGTAAAATTCGTAAGATTGAAATCACTAAATATAAAAATTTAGGAACTGGAATGATGGGATTTAAAAAATCAATAACAGTTTTGTAAGTGACTAAAATAGTGCTCTAAATTGTATTTCACCTTTGGAGAATTTTTTTTGAGAAAAAATATATTCCTCCAACCACTTGAAGCAACAAAAATTTTCAAATACAATTCAGTAAAGCAGAAATATAAAAATTTACATAGATCAACGATAGATAATCATCTATCTATAATATATAATTTTTCGAAAAGTTGTACCAAAATTATACCGAAAGGCGAGTCAAGCGAAAAAATGGTTAAGTGACATGCAATTTGAGCTGAGTCACAAATTCAGATAGAGATAGAGTAAAAAAAAAGATGATCTTCATTCACTGGTCTTCGTGTAAGTTGAAGGTAACTATTATTGTAACCAAAGTTGGTTCGATAGAACTCAATGTGAAAAAACTGATGAAGTCAGGTAGTGCGAAATGGGACTTGGAAATATGTTTTCGAAATCCAGCTAGGCCTATTTAGTTTATCATGATCAATTCATGAAGGGAGATAAATCTCTAAATATTCTCCTGAGAAAAATTGGGGACAAGTTGGTGACCTGTTCACAATACTGTTTGTTAAAGTGAATAAGGAGCTTCAAATTGATATCATTGAAAAATATGTGCTTAACCCTCCATTATTTGAAGAGTGAACGTCGCAGATTGGATTCCAGATAAAGAAGCAATGGGCAGTATTCGAGGTGTGGTGTTACCAAGGTGCAATATAATGCTTTCAATGAGTCTGCATTTGTCAAAGCAGCAGTTAATTTTTGATGAATTTGAGAATGCTTCAGAGCATTTTTAACCCATTTATGCCCAGAACTATTTATTTCTTCTAATCTTTACAAATCTCACATATTATGGTTAAATGGCATTCAATTGAAGAAGTAACTATCGAAAAACGAATTTCAGTGAGGAAATTTAGTGTTTTGATATGGGTCGTTTTTGACCCACTTGGGCAAATAAGTATCCTATATGCAATGCACACATAAAAACAAGCAGAACTTTGTGTTTTGCATGTCTATAAAATTGAAAACTTTCAGATGAAAACAAACAAATAAAATATCATCCAAACACTTTTATTTTCTATGAAAATCTAAAAAACATTTATCATGTAGCGCAACTTCACACCGGTCACAAGCTTTAGTGGTTTTGTTTTTACAATGAGCACATCTTCGTCTTGTCTGTCCACTCAAAATAAGATGTTGCCCATGCCTCCGAGCTGCTGGACTAACAAGAATAGGCTTTGGGCCGGTTGATAAGGGAGGTTTTCCATACTTTTGCAGTATAGATAATACAATAGATCTTCGGAATTCCAGATTATCAATTTTTTTTCCAAATTTCCGAGCCAGTATCCATGCATTATTTATGGACACATCAAACATCCAGAATAAAATGGGAATATACCACTTCTTGCCTCGAAATCCTATGCGATAGTTTGCAACATTGTTGTCCATTTGGTCCACACCACCCATAAACCTGTTGTAACAATGTATCACGTTTGGCTGAGGTATTTCAACTTTCTGTTTCTCTTTTGCTGAATATCTAACAGCTTGACGGATCGGTGCTACGCCATATTCATTCGACAGCATTGTGACAACATTGTTGTCTTTCCAACGGACACAAACAATATTCTCATCTTTGTCAACGGCNGAAGAGAGAGAGAGAGAGAGAGAGAGAGAGAGGGAGAGAGAGAGAGAGCTTTAACGTATTTTGGATAAACAACATCCAAATTCGAGAAATCAGTAATATATAAATTGAAGTGTGTAACGTGTCCTAAGGTATATATTAGTCAAACTGGCAGAACATTTCGGAATCGAATCCACGAACATTATACGAGATATGTAAATAAGAAAACAAATTCAACATATTCAAATCATCTTCTAGAAGAAAATCATATCTTTATAAACCTAATAAAGGTTAGGAATTGAATCATTTGAAAGCAATGGAAATTAATGAACTTGAAAATTCCAACATACTGATGAATGACCATCTGGATTTTAATAGATCACTATTATTGAACTTGTTTTCTTAGAAAAACTGAGAAAGAATGTGTGTTATTGATGTAGAAGTGAGGTAATATAATAATCATTATTGAAGAGGTGCCACAGGTAGAGGTTTAGGTAATTTGTGGGAGGTAGTCTCAATTATGGTTACCTGTAGTATATAAATATTAGTGTAAGAAGCAACTTGACTATTCAAATCACTGTTGGTAAAGCTACTGTGGTAGCAAAACATGTGATATTTTTTTAATATAAAGTTTGTGGAGATCAAATCGTGAGGTGTAGTTTATGAATTTTCTTTGGATCTTCCTCAAATAACGGCCGAATCAATCAGAAAATGAAAACTCAAAGTACTGACGAGCTTGGCAGCAAGAGAATCATTCATATGTTATATTATGCAATGAAGTTTCTCTGGTGTGGTTAAATAAGTGAAAATAATCCCAACTAGCTTATTGAACAAAACTGTACAACAACAAAAAACAAAGTGAAATCACAGAATTAGATAAATGACATGAATTATAACTAGTAAAAGCTAGTTTCCTTCAAAACTACAATATGGAATCAATAACATTCACATTTTCTCCCAAGAAATTTTTTATCAATCTTCGATTACCCTGTAGCTTCGTTGAATTAATATTCACCGAAAAAACTTGAATCAATTCATTCAAAATCATTCCCTGGAAAGAATAATTGTGTGTGTATTATTTATGATATAACTGTCGTATCACTAGCTATACACTCTATATGTTCAGAAAACGCTTGAGAAAACATTATTTCAGAGTTTCAATTCACGAATTATTATTATTCGATATTGAAGTAAACCACGTTTTGAAATTTCCCCATAATGACATGAAATCTTCAGCCACCGTATCAATCGCAAAACAGACCCATGAACTGAGTCTTCATTAAAACTGAGAACGATTACATAATAACTTCCAGATCGCACGATACTCACCCGACCAATAATATATTTCTTGAGAGAGCTTGTTCAACGGGCTCTGAATATGGAAAGTGAATCATGATATTTCAATTAAAACAGCCTAATTTTGATATGCCGTACTTCTACTTCGTATCTTGTATATTGATGAATAATTTATTGAAACCCCATGCCAGATATCTTAAACTTCAAATGGGAGTTTATTGTGACGCGCGCATAGTTTATCTTGGCTATAGTTATGTATCTAGTGGTGTCTTTGAGTAGAAACTTCAATGATAACCAACTTATCATCAAACTTGGCATGGTATGTTGAATGCTTTCGTATTCAATTTCGTATTCACAGAGGAGGCTCTGACCGTTCTGAGCAAATGCTAATTTGACATTCAACTCAATTCTGTATTCTAAATATGTGACT